GAGTTCCCCACACCGGTGGAATGAGAAACCCCGGGCTGTTTTCTTTGGGAAGAGAGAGAGACAGTAGAATGAATGGACAGAGACACGGTAGGACAGGCGCAGAGGGCGTCTACAGGAATCGTGTTCTGTCGGCGTGGTTTCTCTCTCTTCCCCGCGTGTGAAGAGAAAACATTAATGCAAAAAGGCAATTCGAAAGAAAAACAATAAAGAAGACTGCCAGCCATGATACTTCTGCAGTACTGCTGTGTTCACGGATAACATACGCAGCACTGTCAACCGTGGTGACTGTACAGCTCATACGCGTTGACTTGTTGATTTCCTGCTTCCACACATACCCAAGATTGCAGGCGTCATGTACACCCGGCTTGTCGCCTTCGCGGCTCTCCTTTTCCTTTTCGCGTCAAGTCCTGACAATGCACTGCCACGCCGACAAAATGAGACGTTAACCGGAACAACGAGCGAGCCGCTTCTTTGCGTCCAGCATGTCCTCTGGCGACAAGACGTGTCATCGCGCTCGTCTCCACGGCGTTTCAATAGTTACGCAGACCCAATCCTGCCAGTATCTAGCCCAGGCCTCTCCGTTTTCGTGCTGCTTTCGTCGTCTGGATGGTTGCCTTTTCCGCCTGTATTTCTGGGTTCTGCTTTCTTATGCGGTTAGTCGTTTGTTTGCGGTATTCGACGTGCTGCAGGCATATGCCGGGATAATCAACAAAGACATTCCACTATATCTTGAATTTCACACTGCCGGCTAACCCATCAGGTCTGCCCTCGGTTATTCTATGGATATGTTTCTTTGTCAACCGGACAAATTTCGATGGATTCCGGATCCCCGTCTATACCCGTGTCCCAAAGTGGCCTTCTTTCCGATCCTCCTCAAATCCTGGCGCTCATGGATACCAAAGTCACGGTCGGCGGACCCGTGTCTATTAACCCGCTCCACCTCCTCCTTGTGCGAACGTTCTTTAAGTCAAACACGGGAAAATAGCTTGTTTCCTTCCGTCTTGCTTGATCTACCAAGTCCTATCATCCTCCACCCCGCTCATACATACCGTATACTCCCTTCCCCGGGAACGAAAGAAAAAGGGCTTCAGGTGAGGCGGGGGTGCTACCCCCTGGCTATTATTATCAACGAGTTGTACCCGAGGAGTGAACTTTCCAAGATCAGCAAGGGATGATCCTTGACAACAGTCAACAAGGAAAAATTCATGACAACCTGTTTGCTGCTCCCCTTGTGGACCGGCTCATTTGGCAAGATGTTCTGCGTCTGAAAAACGGCTTCACCCCGACTGGATGCCTAGTGGGTATCGGGATGTGAAGCTGAACCCCCTCGTGAAGGAGCACTTGTGTGAAATTCAGCTGCACCTCCGCGAGTTCTTCGCATTGAAAGGCGGCCAGCACGCCGTATACGAGTGGGCGCGGGAGCTCAACGATAGTATGGAAACTGACGGTGAACACCTGATCGAGAATCTGTCCCCCGAGGTTACGAAGGAGATGATGCGCCTGGCCGGGGAGAACTGGCGTGAAACTGGGTACCTTCTACAGGACCTCCAGCTCGATGCTGGGCAATACAATCTGGCGGAGAAGAGCTTCCGAGAGGTAGCTATGGGAGATATAGTTCCGAGGTCTTTCCTTGTGTACGCACAATTTTTCTGCGTTGGAGCACCACTTCAGTAGTAGGCCCATTGGCGTATATCCACAACATGCAAGTGTTCCCTGAGGAGTGGGCTCAGTAGAGCACGCAGTGTTATCAAGGGGTGATGCAAGAAAATAGAACAGGCAGCAAGACCGGCCCACAGCTGGCTGCCAACTGCCAGTTGCGACGTTTCCCAAGCCCAACAGCCCACGCACCTGACGTATTTCGACTCCAAAACCTGACGTACCTCATTGAAGCAAAAAAAACTATTAACTCTGTGTGCAGTCTTATGACACGTGATTGCCGCTTGTGGTCCTTACACTGACCTTCCAGAAACTTGGGGATGCCGAGCACAAAGCACGGGAGTTTGATGATGACGATATCAAAGACTCGAGACGAGTTGCTCAGCGCAAACGCAGTCAGGGCAAGACTTGCCCATATTCTAAGCAAAAAGGTAAGGCAAAAGCAATTCAGGTCTAACACCACATAAGCTTGGCGGCGTACAGCCCTGAGGATCTTGGCCTGGAGACCGCGACATTCGTTACCGTGTTTGATACCTGTTTCATGAAAATTGCGCCAAAGCATTATCTCTTTGCTGTTGCTTAGGGGCACACTGAAATCGTGGATGATGGCGTTCGTGGAACTACCAGTTGATCCTTGCGGATGAGCAACACATCGGCATGCTGCCAATATCTTGTTTGCGAAATATTGTTTGTTGCTGAGAGTGTCCCACTTATGTATACGTAACTCACCATATTTTGAGCGCAAGCTTGAACTGGAAGCTCGCAGTAGCAAACCATCACGGCGTTCACCCTGCGTTTAGCGCCCTTGAGCCTCTTCAAGGCCTGGCTCTCTTGGGCCGGCTATTTGTACCTCCCATCAACCACCTGTCGGTATCGTCTCGTCTACCTTTTCTCTGTCGCCCCACACCAGGGTAGACAGTCACACCAAATGCATCAGGATGTTGTCGACTTCTCACAAATGTTGAATATCGCGTGTTAGTTGAAGTTGGGTGCCGATGCGGGTATGTCCGTATGTACTTACACCATTTGTTACTGGTGGTGCCAATTTGTCAAGCCTGTGATGTATTGTGCAGCTCGCCCTTCGTGATTTGGGCGTACCGCCTCAAACCGCTCCTTTCACGTGCCCCTCTCCCCCTCCCTGGTGTCTGCCATCGGGGTTGGGTTTTCGTCGCTTGGCAACGACGTTGTAAAACAAGCCAACTCACTTTGTGAACTCGGCAACCAGGTTACCGGCTTTTACCTCTGATTCTTTTTTGGCGGTAACCATATGGTGGTCGATTAGATCATGTTATGCGCGGGATGGAGAACCCTCACTCCGCGCAAGGGGGATGATCGCACCACGTCGTCTTAAATTAGTAAAGCATCCTCGACGCAGTTACACGATGCTTACAACTGTCTCTGGATGTGAACGCACCAGAAAATATATTAAGTCATACGCAGCTGTCATCCGTACGCAAGGAAGCAAGCACAAGATGCGAACCCTTAGCAGGATGCAGCGCACCCTTCATGCGACTCGCCAAATATCTCACGGCGATTCGCGCTTGGTGATGTGAGAGCCTGGTCCGGTGAGAACCCGGCGTGCTCTGTCCCCGCTTTGTAGGGATGCGAGGTCAATGGTCTAACGACTACGGCATGCACGACTATGAGTACCCCCCCCCTCTTTCACGTGCCCCTCCTTCAGCACACAAGCCGATCCAGACCCAAGGAAGCACATATATTCACAGCAGTACTTCCTCGGAGAGCATGCTCGTGCCTCTCCTCGGTTTTTCGGTTTCAAAGCACGTTAGGTGATTATTTCGCTAAATACAGGGTCTCGGGTGGTCTCGGCGGGAACTTCCTGGAAACAAGGGAATGTATACCGAGGCGGATCTTCTGTACCTTCAAGCTGTCGGGATTGAAGAAACCATCGTTTGGTACTGGCCACCCAGCTCTAGCCACACGCCTCACCAACCCGGTGGAGTTGTGGGCTCGGATTCCTGACTACATGTGGCCTCACCACACCAATCTAGCTCTTCCTTTGCCGTCACATTCCAGGCAAGTACGACGAGGCCAAGTCTCTGTGCGTTCGGTCGCTGGCTATGTATGAGAAGGTGTACGGTCCTGACCACCCGGCCGTCGCTACTGGCCTCAACAACTGGGCAGGGGTATTGAAGAGGCAGGTGAGAGTCAACATAATTTTCGAATATCCCAGCATGTGTTTTAGGGTCCACATTTTTTTGCGAATCGCTTTTGGATACCAAACGTTCTCTATGAGCGGCCACAGGTTGCGTAAAGCAGAGAAGGCCCTGCGTCGGGAGATTCCAGATGTGTGTGTTTCTACGGTCCATGAGTGGTCGTTGAAGAATTTTCGGTTTTCGTGGACCACCCCATTATTCCAACTCTCTCTTGATCATTATATGCGCAAGTATGACGAGGCCGAGCCACGTTTTGAACGGTCACAGTCAATATGAGAAAAGGCTCTAAGGCAGGAGCACTGCGTTGTGGCCCAGTCGCTCAAAATGAATGGGCAGAGGTGATGAGCGTGCGTTCGTCCGCGTTGAGTTTTTCTCACCTTGACCACACTGTCATCAGGCGCTTCGTGTCAGTTCCAGGGCAAGTATATTGAGGCGGACACGGTACCTTCGAGCTATTGAGATTGGAAACATCACCGTTGGTCCGTGAACACCCAGCTCTTGCCACACGGCTCACCAACCCGGCGGGGTTGTTGGCTAAAGCCTCTTCGCACAAGCATCTCAAGAAGCGTCTCACTTTTCCTTTCCGGTCATATTCCGGGGCAAGTACAAGGAGGCTACGGATCTGTGCGTTCGGTCGCTGGCTATCCTTGAGAAAGGTGTAGGTCCCGACCATTCGGACGTCGTTGTAGGCCTCAACAACTGGGCGGGGCTGTTGAAGTGTCAGGTGAGAGCTATCAGAAGTGTTTTTCCTTATAGAACGTCTCGTAGGGTCCACACCTGTTAGGAGAGAAGGCCCAGGGCCCGGAGATCCTAGATGTGAGCATTTCTGGGGTCCACAATCGGTTGGTGAAGGAATGTTTTTTTGGTGCACCACACCATCACAACAACTCTCTGGTGACCACTCACAGGATTGGTGGGACGAGGCCGAGCCACGTCTTGAACTATCAGAGTCAATACGCGAGAAGGGGCTAGCGCACCACGATGTGGCCTAGTAGCTCAATGACGGGTCAAGGTGATGAGCGTGTGTCCGTCCGCATTGACAAGTTCATTCCTTGGCCACACTGCCAACACGCATGATTTTTCCCTTCTAGGGCAATGTTAAGGCGGACACTCTGTACCTTCAAGCTATTGAGATTGGAGACGCCACCGTTGGGCCTTGAACACCCCGCTATTGCCACAAGGCTCACCAACCCGGCGGGGTTATTGGCTAGTTGCTGAGCACATTCAGCTTCACCAAATGGTTCTCGCTCTTTCCTTTCCCGTCACATTTCAGGGCAAGTATGAACTGGCAGCGCCTCTGCACATTCGGTCGCTGGCTATCCGTGAAAAGGGTTGCGGTCCTGACCACCCGGCCGTCGCTACAGGCGTCAACAACCGGGCTGGGCTATTAGAGAGTCAAGTGAGCGCCATCAGATTTTCCGAATTTTCCAACAGTTTTGTTCGGATCTTTTTGGTTAGTTGATGGCAAAGCTACGCTTTATGTCCAGTGCTAGGCTGTAGGAGAGCCCTGCCTCCGACGAACCCGCATGCGAGGATTTCTAGGGTCCATATTTTGGTGGGTGAAGAATTAGAATTTCCATTTTCGGTGGACCGCGACCTTACACTAGCTCTCGGATTCATGAACAGAGCAAGTACGACGTGGCCGAGGCATGTTGTGAAGGTCCCAGTAAATATGAGAGCAGGCGCTAGGCAGAAATACGCCGACGTGGCCCAGTCGCTCAACAACATGGCGGTGTTGCGTGTGTCGGTCCGCAACATCCTTTGCTCTGGTTGACCACACAGGTGCGACGCTTTTCGTTCCCCTTTCCAGGACACGTGTCCCGAGGCGGGTCCTCTGTACCTTGGATCTATTGAGGTTGGAGAATCCATCGTTGGGCCCTGACCAACTAGCTTTTGCCAGACGGCTCACCTATCCGGCAGGGTTGATGACTATGGTTTCTTCGCACACACAGCGTCACCAAGTGAAATTCGCTCCTTCCTCTCCGATCACATCCCAGGGCAAGTAGGAGGAGGCCGAGCCACTTTTTGAGCGGTCGCAGGCCATTCAAGAGAAGGCCCTGGGCCCGGAGCACGCCGATGTGGCCCAGTCGCTTAACAGCCGGGCGGGGTTGTTGCGGGCTCGGGTGAGAGCCCAAGTACGGTTCGTGTAAATTCGGTAGGGGTAAAGTTTGGTCTTGAAATACTCCGTTATTCAGTAGGTAGCTGGATGATCAAACAAACTTATATTGCACAGGGTACGTACGACAATGCCAAACCACTTCATGAGCGGCCACAGTCAGAATGAGAGAAAGCGCTACGGCAAGAGCAGCCCGATGTCGCCCAGTCCCTCAGTCGGGGTTTTTGAGCTTGTGCGCAAGTTCTTCTCGCCTTGACCATGTTTTTCTTTCACCTTCCAGGACTAGTATGCCGAGGCGGATCCTCTGTACCCTCAAGCTATTGAGATTGGGAGAATACCCAAATCGACGGTGCCATACCCCCGGGGAGGGGATGAACTTTGCCTCTGAAATTGTGCTCCCCCGGGGCTGAATGTTAACAAGGGGGGGTCGGTGGGGGGGGCGTACTCTTTATGTTTTGCATGCCTTAGCTGTTAGACCATCGACCACGCGTCCTCGAGAGGACGGGGCATTGTTCCCACAAGACCGATCACCGATGGCCAATCGTTCCTTTCTACTTTGCCAAAGGTGGCTCAAAAATGTCTTCCCTAGTCTGCCCATCCCACCGATATCCCTTACCGCCTTTGCAAACCCACTTCCAACTCCCCAGTACCGCTACCGTCCTTTCCTCTCTATTCCATGCCTCAAACATCTCCCTGTACGTTCCATCTATTTTTCCCAGCTCAGTCACGTACACTTCCCTCTCCTTCTTGTACAACGGACATTCCGCGACTACATGAACACGGTCTTCGCATTCGAAGCCGCAATCACATTTGAACTCGTCGTCTTCCTCGTCTACCGTCCTATGTCTTCGTCGACGTTCTCGAAGGCCTATGTCCCCGGTCCTGAATTTTACCTTAAGCTTTGTTCCTGCATCCATCGCTCCATGTTGGTAATCCTTGAACCCTATTCCTTATTTCAACATTCCGTACACTTCTAGACCCTCCTTATCCTCGGTTTCTTTCCTTAGATTCTGTCGTCCTCTCTCGGCACAAGCAACAGATATCTTCTCCTTGAACCCCTTCAGACCCTCCGTTTCCAGCGTTTCATCTTCGTCGATATCGAACCCCTTCCATACGTCCTCTACAACCTTGACCCATTCCGTGGGTTGTCTACCCCTCGTTTTGTTTGCCCACTTCGCCTCCCACACTATTTTCGGCAACCTCTCCTCTCCCATCCCGCACATGCGATACTGCCATGTCAGCTTCCTTGCATCTCTTCCCGACCGTAGGGATTGGATCCCCAATTCTGTCCTGACGGCTGCATTACTTGTGCGCTTGGAGCATCCTAGAATGATTTTCGCTGCTTCCATCTGCGCCGCCTCGAGTTCTTTCACTACCTTCTTATATCCTTCCCATGCTTCTCCGGCTTACTCTAGCGGCGGTACGATTAAGCAAATGTGTCTCAAAACCATCTTGGGCAAACGCTTTCGTCGCGACTCAGTTGGGTTAAGACTAGGCCGCCTGCTCTGAACCCAAGTCATGTTGCTGGGGATGCGCTCTCTCGAGATACATCCATGTGTTGTACGAATTTCAGGTGGGGCCAACAGGACCGACCTTAGCTGCCGCAAGCGTGCACCCCTTCGTGCGGATCTGCTTCCAACATCACCCAGCGGATATTGAGAAAACAGCGCCTCTTCGTAGGCCTCGTGGTAACCACATGAATTCTTCTCTCTTCGACTTCGAACCCTCGCCATTGACAAACCGGAGCCCAGAGCACAGCCGAACTCAACACGCACAAATCTCGATCAAATCGTGCCCGCGGCAGGACTTGATCGGTTCAAAAGAAACCTCTTTGGGGGGTCTCTCACAGGAAAGACGAACGCTTCGAGCAGCCGGGGGAAGCCAAGGCTCTGCAAATGATAAAACAAAATGTGAAGGGGGAAGCACCTGGCGAGCTGCAGCTTTGCGTGTCTCTTTTCCTCAGTTTCGTATCATCCAGGGATCTCCCTGAATAAAACTCCGCCGAGCTCTTGACTCCAATGCATGGAGGATCGTAAACTAGAGAGCTACCGGGACAGAGTGAGACAAGGTCTACTGCTGTAGCCTATGACACTGTGTGGGTCATGGGGGGAGTGTCGCGCTCGCACAAAACCTCTGCCGTCACTACAAAATACGTCTGTTTTTGAATCCAAAACGTAAAGGACGGGCAGAGTAGAGCACTTCCGAGAACTACTGCGACATTAGCGTGGCAAGATCTGGTCGTGTATCTGCTCAGAATCGCCTGTCGCTGTGCTGTTGTTTTTGTTGTCTTCACATTAAAAACCGTTCCGATATCTCTCTACCCAGTACCTTCGCATGTCCGTACTGATCCAACACTCGACGCCGCCGATTCCCGTGGTCGCAGGCTAACTTACCTAGAAAGGTACACTCAAATAAAATGGCCCCGAGGGGTCCACAAGTCGATAGAAATCAACGACAGATATTCTGGAGTCCTCCACTCCCTCTACGCGTTATGCGAGGTAACAACTGAGACTAGGAGTCACCATCACGGGCCGGAGAGAATGAGGTACACCCCCTTGGTTCAATCTTGGTACTTCACAACGCAAGCAGAGAAAAGGCCATATGGCACAAAAAAAGACAGAAAAAGAGAAAAAGAGAAGAAAATAAAAGGAAACAGCAAGGGCATTTGTTATGATGTCTTTGTTTAGGCTTTNCTTACTTGGTAGCTTATTAGACCCCCTTAAAAGCTATTTTTATTGCCTTAAGGGCATTTGTTACGATGTCTTTTTTTAGGCTTTTTTTAGGCTGTAATTTTTAAAACAAATGACAACTGGCCAAATAGCCCCGTGTTATAGGCTGTCAAATAAGGTTCGTTGTCATATTTTAGCAAGAAAAGACGTTGTAACACCGGGCTATTTGGCCAGTTGCCATTTTTGAAAAAAAAAACAGCCTAAAAAAGCCTAAAAAAGACATCGCTGTCCCTGGCCTCTTCAAGTGGCTGCAGGAAAACTTGGACAACGAGGATTTCTTCTTGCAGCCGTGGTTCACGTTAGAGGTCATGGGGAAGACGTCCATGAAGGGAGGTAAGACACAACCAACGCGGGAGAGAGTCAGGTTTCGAATGCGAAGACAACCGTCTTGAGGGAGAGGGACTGGGTGCGAGTGTGTACCCGACCCTCTGCGCCTTCATGATGTGCTCTTGAAAATGACATGCTCTACGTAGGGTGTAAGGTGTATGGTCCGGCCAAAGTTTGTTTGTAGGTTGCAGTCAGGCCACGACGGGCTCTGCTGCAGCAGCAGGAGGAACCAACATGCTGCTGTAGGATACCTTGTCACCGCCCATCATTTGAGCGGCAACCACAGGATGCAACCCGACACCAGTGTACCAGTCTGTGCGTAGCCTTTCGAGCCTCAGTTGTATGGCAACCGAGGCCCGCCCATTTCCTGGAGCATTACCGTAAATGACACAAGATACCACACCCCCTTGACCGAGTTTCAAAGCTCGATTACTCCACGACAAAGAGGATGCACGAACGGAACGGTGCATTTTCGGAAAGCTCTCGATGAGACGTCTTCAACGCCGCCATTGTTGTCACTGTGACTCCTTTTGCTGTTGAGGAATGGGCCTTTGAAAATCGGTCCAGGGGGTGTGGTATCTTGTGTCATTTGTGGTACTCTTATTGAGAGGCATGGAGAGCAATGTTTGTAGTCTACAGCACGTCATCCAGCAGTAGGTATGTTTCGGATAGATCATTGCACATGTTTGATTTGCTGCTACTGCTGACCATTAACTGCTACTGCTGTTCGACTGCTGTTCGACTTGCCTACCCCATGTTACTGCGACGCAGGCGCGGTCCTCTTCACCGACGGCGAAAAACTGTGGAAGCGGTTCGACAAAATCCTGCGCGAAATCAAGAAATACTACAACCCCGTGTGGGACAGGTGTGTCTGTCTCTGATCTTGTTTGTGTACGTGCTTGGAGCGGCATCAGTACAGCTGCAAGGCTGCAATTTTTTTTGTTGCGTTCCGTGTAGTGTATTTTCCTGTTCTCTTGTGGCGTGCACTGCTGTGAACGAGCGGTCGACTGCAACCACGCCCTCCCGAGAAAAATATGGTTGGCGTCGGCGGCGTAACTACTACTGTGTGTACAGTGGTGAGTAGTGCACGTACCTTCCGCCACAGAAGCACCGACGAACAACTCCCGTAGACAATACTAATTGAAGAAGCGAGGCCGAACACGAAGGAACACGGAGGATATTGAATAGAGGTATTTGTTCTCAAGAATAGTAGTCGGGTTCACGAGAGTAAAATCAGTGATGTTGCGATTGTTTCTGTAAAAACCGCCCACATGCGCCCGTGTCTGGTGTGTTGTGAGCATCGAACGCGGTGCCTAGCGGTTTGATGTTCTTGTTTTTTGTCCGCACACCAATGGAATTGCCGCACTACATTTAAATTTCGAACTGTCACGTGCCCCGATCACCATACATGTACTATGCGGACAACAGCAGTGTTAAACAAACGCTCAATCGCGTTAACAGCTGCTTTTGGCGGCAACTCGCTGGCGTTTCCCCCCTCCCCCTTCAAAAAAGCAACATAACACCACGGGTGGGAACAGCTTTTGAGATAGGTGGCCCCAGGGCGTACAACATGTTGCGAAGAAAATAAAGTAGACCGCCCATCCCCCACCGTGTTTCCCCCAAATCATATAAACTACGCATGCAAGTGTCGCGGTGAGACACACAATAAACAACGATACACTCATGTCAGAATTATTGTTGCACTCTCCGCACCAAGTCAAAACTGCAGTCACAAACCCTTGTGAGTTTCGCACTGTGTCGTTTTGCCCTCGGTACGGTGACCCTCTCCCTGGTAGGAGTACTCTAAAACGATGACGGAACTCATGTGCATGTGGGACACCGGTGCTGTGTCACTTTGGCCGATTGGCATGACTCCCGGAACAGTATTCTAAACCTCAGCGAAACCGATCGAAAATAGTAAGACCAGTGGCGACATGGGTGTGAACTGCTGCTGCCCGTCAACATTCGAAATTTGTGCCACCTTTGCGCGTACACACGAGCGAGAGTGCATTACGATCGCTGCCAATCTCACCCGTTCTTCCTACCTCTCTCTACCTNACCGGTGCTGTGTCACTTTGGCCGATTGGCATGACTCCCGGAACAGTATTCTAAACCTCAGCGAAACCGATCGAAAATAGTAAGACCAGTGGCGACATGGGTGTGAACTGCTGCTGCCCGTCAACATTCGAAATTTGTGTCACCTTTGCGCGTACACACGAGCGAGAGTGCATTACGATCGCTGCCAATCTCACCCGTTCTTCCTACCTCTCTCTACCTTTGTTCCCGTGCACCCCTGGCCCAGTTTCGTCGAAGGACAACCTGGGGACCAACTACCGTCGGGCAGCCAAGGTGACGACGCCATCGAGTACTTTCTGGACGGAGTCTACCACATGGAATCCAGAACGGGGAACGCAGAGGACCCGATCGAGTTGGAAGAGAGGGGTGGCGGTGAGGGAAAGGGTTGGGAAGATTACTCTGGGGAATCGTCACCGACGGAGAGCGAGGACG